CCTCCATTGCACCCATTTTTCCCGAGAATGCTGAATTAGTGATCTGCCATTGTTGTAGTTACTTAAGCTCCAAGCTTCGCCCGCTCTGCTTATTTTCTGTTGTTGGTGTTGCTACGTCATTGTCCGTGGTAAGCAAAAGCTATGCCTTCCTTCATGTCATCCATTTTTAAGAGTTCATGTGATCGTGACTTGTTAAGTTGTCGTCTCTTGTGTTGCTTCAGCCGCAAGCTTTCTCTTCTCCATTGTTGTTTACGACTGTTGTGTGGTGTTTAGCATTCATTTGGTAAGCAAGATCTCTTCTGTTGTTGTCACGTCAACCATAGTATGGGAATGCATAAACGTAACATGTGTATTGTTACCATTTCGAATTGCTTCAGCCTCATGTAAACTTTGTTGAGTTGTGATCGTGTTGCTGTGTGTCTGTTTCACTTCCGTTCATCCGAAAAGCAAAGGTGAGGGCAGGATCCATGGATTCTAAAAGCTTCTAATTAATTAGTATTCGTAAATCCTAGGTTTAGAGAATTATTTGTTGATTGTGTTGATTGAGAAAATGAGGTTAAGTGATAGTTATAGGTTTAGATAATGAATTTTTAAGTTGATATGACGTGTTGGTGGAGAGTATATGTTAAATTTTAGCGAAGTCGGACTGAGAACAAGGACATGGCGATCCCGTTTAAGTCTGTATTTCAGTGCAGTCGGACTGAGAATGAGGACATGGCGATCCCATTAAAGTCCGTTAACCGGCTGACGAGCCAGAGGGTGGTGGAGGACCTTTCGAGGTGCCCGACCAGCCCAGTGTCATGATAATTTATATTGAGTTAATGGTGGCGGAAGACCTTTCGAAGTGTCCGACAGCCAAAATGTCATGTAATTTGTGTTAAGTCATGATGTGGTTAGAAATACTTGTTGATGGTTATTTGCTCTAGATTTAGTATTTGCGTGTATTGTTAAATAGTAGTGTTGAGAATCATGTTGGCAGAAATGACCTTCTTCACTGAGTAATTCGTTACTCACCCCCTCCTTTTCCCCTCTTAGTGTGTGCAGGTGTGTTTCTTGTGGTGAAAGTTAGGGTGCAAGACCTAGGACACAAAAGTGACGGGAACGGGCATTACAGGTTTCCGGGCCGATGATACTGAACGGTGTTGGATCGGCTCTGTCGTCTTCCCTCTCCCTTTCGTACGTCACCAACGAGAAGTGATGTGATCAATTATGGTCTTCTTCTCTCCCTTTCTCTCCTCCCTTCTCCCTTTTATCTTTCTAATCATTTCTTTCTCTTCTTTGACAACAACGGCAGCTAGCTCTAGGTTTTAGGGAAAGGTGGAGATACATACATCCGTATGTATATAATTGTAACATTAACAAAAAACGGTAAGGGCAGATGGGCTATTACGGCTAAAATAGCAAATGAGCTTTGATGGGGTTTTTGGGGTGTTACAATTCTTCCTCCTTTAAAAAGAATTCGTCCTCGAATTCAATTCTACGAAAACTTTTATTTCAAAATTTCCAACCCGTCAAATGTTGTAGTGTTTTCCTAACACTTCTTTGGAGTCTCTAATTCTATAAGAATTCATACTTCCATGCGTTTTCAAAACAAACTAAATACAATTCATACTATTATACTAAGCATGCATTCGACAAACACCACAATTGACTCTCAATCAGACAAAGTAACACTAGGTGTGCCTATCCATAAGCAGTAGTTAACTGAAATTACTAGAGAAAGATTACTTACCAATAATCAGTTATGCTTTTCTTCAGGGTCTCCAACCACATTCACCATAGGTCCCTCGCTTGTCTTCTTGGTGGTGCTGGCAGCATGTCACGGTTAGTGTCTTATTGACCTGGTAGCAATGTCATACAATCCTTTGCGATATGCCCAGTATGTCTGCAACGATGACAACCTCTCTGTGGCGGCCTCAAAGTACAGTCTCTTTGCACGTGTCCCGGTTGATTATATTTGAAGCACACTCCTGTCATGCACACTCCATTGTGCTTCTTACCACAAGTTACACACTCGGGTGCCAGTCCTGTCAAATTGGTTATATTCATAGTGTCCCAAGTCCGTTTCTGAGTCCCTGCTATCTTTGTCGCCTTTTCACGAGTGCTCTTAAGGTCAATAGCTTCCTCCTCAAGCCCAAGTTCCATAGTATCTGCCTTTTCAACTATCTCGGTCATAGTGGCATAATCACGGATTGAGCAACGATTACGGATATCAGCCTTCAATCCTTTCAATAATCTGCCAAACGCCTTCTGCTCCTCAGTCTCTCTTGGAATAAATCTCCTAAGGCGATTAAACTCTTTCTCATACGGTCTGACTGTCATAGTTCACTGGCAAAGCTCCAAGTACAAATGCTCCATACCATCCATCGCATCCTGTGGAAAGTACTTCTTGTGAAACTCCTCCCTAAAAGTACAAATTTCAAGCATTTTGTCTAGGAGCTTGATTCATTTTCTTTTTGTTTGAAGTTAACCTATTAACTAAACTAGTAGCACTGGGCTTTGATCCAAACCTGTAACACCGCCTTCCAATTCAGTAAGTTTGTCAAATAGTTGAGTGAATGAAATGTAAGACAAGGATAAGAGATTTCTTAAAAACCCAACAAATAGCTATAGAGTAAGGGAAAATATATGCTCTTGTTTGATGATGTTACATATGTTTTGGCTTTTATTTAGCGAGATGGGCTCTATCTTTGTCAAGTTGATCATGTGTTACAGAAAAAAAGTAAGTGATTAATGTTAAATTTACCTTTTTTGGTAACACATAAAAGATAGAAAAGTTAAGAGACCATTTCGGATGACCTATTATTATTCCAACAGATGGTTATATTACATGGTGGTCTATCTTCAAGCAAGCTGTTGAAGCAACCGGAAGAAAACTGGCAAAGCATGAGATTTTAGCTTTAATTACAGAAAAGGCCGGCTTAGTTTTAGTATGGACCCTAGGATTAGGAATTTTGGACCCTTAAGTTTTATTTCTGTAAGTTTTACTTAATATTTTTGTCTTTTAAAGGTTTATGTGTATAAATTTTATAGATTGTTTTTATAAATACATCGATATATACGTATTAAAAAAACTTATGGACCGTTTTAATCTAAATATTCATATAATTTCTTAAAAAAAGATTTTTTCGAAAAAATTCGTCCCATTATTTAATAGAACATAATGTTGGGTTAAGGGACGTCACACTACGTTTCCACTCAAGTAAGCCTCATTGACTACAAATGTACTGTTTAACCTGACTTTGGAAATCTCACGTTTTGGTTTCTCACCAATGATCAATATTCTTCTTTTATTGCATGTCCATATAGAGGTATTGGAATAGTGATATTATCAATTCAACATCTTTTGGTTATATATTGTGAATCACAATACTGATTATAAATACTTTACTCGTGGTCTTATTTTCTTAAAGGTACAGTGTTCATGAAAAGAATATAAGTATATAAATCAGTTATCAGCAATCTAAGTTTGTTTGCGGGAGTATATGGTCAAGTTATTTTACCAATGTGAGCAATGACATTGCTATCACCAAGTTATTGTATTAGCTTGTTTCTCACATTTTCTTGTAAAGCTATTTTTATTGATATTTATTCTGACCATTGTGATCCTAACTGGCTTGTATATTGTAGTAATTCTTAAAACCAAGAGAGAAATGTCATTAGTGCTTTTGGAGTATGATTTGACAAAAAGTTGTCATTAGTTGTCATTAGTGCTTGTGCTCTCAATCTTCGTGTTTTCAAGAATTGTTGTATAAGTATTCCTTTAATTGTATAGGTGCTTGATACTTTTTTTTTTTACAGCTTTGTAAGTAAAGTGAAAAAACTCTAGAAAACTGGCCAGGTTATATTAAGATTACGGACCAAAACAATCTTTTTAAACAATTTTTCCATTCTAATTAAATAGAGTTTTAACGTTTTCAAATTTTCTAGAAATATTTTTAGATTATCTTCTGCAAATAAAAACCTGAGAAAATGAAGATTTTCGACATTAGTTAATCTTGTATACATGGTTAATCTCTATTACCGAATAAATTTCTTTTTTTTTCAAGCATTTTTGAGTAAGCGATCCACTAAGAGAAGCCATTCCAACAACAGAATGCTAAAATAAGAAAAAGAGTCTCACCTTAGGTTCTACCTCTGTTTGAAAGGATGTGGATCCGGACATTAATAACACAACGTGTGGTAAGCAATCATTTGATTTTTTTGCATCATAATTTGTTCGTTCTAATTAATCATTTTTCTAAAACTTTGCAGTTTTTTTAGAACGCTCATGTCTGAATTCTTACAATTATCGTTTGTTTGCTTTTGCTTATTTTAAATAATCTATTTATTTGGTAATAAAAATAATTAAATATTTTGTAAATTAGAAATAGACCAATGTATGTATTGATTGCATTCTCTATCAAAATAGTAATCATTCATTTTATGCATAACTAAACTGATTGTTCCTATAACACGTAAAATCAGAATCATAAATGTTTGCATATACCACAAGGGATGTTTAGTTAAACATCTAAAGAAATGGTGATCATATATGTGAGTATATTAGAGTACTACATATAGTAAAACCAAAAACTATCATTAACATTTAACAAATTATATCGCTAAACACAAGATATTGTAATTCTATTAAGTTTCTTATTAATCAATATTGAATAATTACACTTTGGGAAATTTTTTCATAACATCACAGAAAAAGCGAAAGGAATGAAAATCTTTTGGTGCAAAACATTGTTCTCATCTCTAATCGGAGATTTTGCTTTCTTGATTTTTGTGAAAATCTTTTGGTGCAAAACATTGACTTAAGGATTCTTACTCACAATTCTTTTACTTACAACAAAATCCTATGGATTGACATAACACCCTTTGCTATGCTACAACTGATTCACATACAGGGGTGATTGAGAAAGAGTGAAAACCTCTAGTATCAATATATCTTCACATATTCTCAGTGCATCAAAAGCAGAAATCAGATACTTATTAGCTCTTCTGTAATCCTGTTACTTAACGTTCGTTAAAGCTTTGTTTAAAGAACTATTTGCATCTTTATAAAGCTCGATGCAATCACGTAATGCTGCCTTATTACCAGGAGAAGTTTTCCTTTCATTGAGGATCGTTTTAGCGATTCTTTCCACGTTAATCGTGTTGAATGCAGCATTCTTCGTTGATGCTATGACCAATCCTTTGATACTCGATGCACTTTTGCTATGAGGATTTGATTCAAGAAACTTGACGCAAAAATCATACTTCTTATTCCGATCTTTCGCTGCAGCTTACTTGCAAGAATCTCGAGTCAGACTTTGTGAGGTTGCAAAACAATTTAAAGGAGAAAGAACATAACAAAAGAAACAAAGAATTTCATATTTATTTTATTATTTCTTTGGGAAGCAGAGAAAGCAATAATCGATTGATGAAGTAAACTTCTGATATAATGATTAAATTTATAGTAAAACTGAAACAAAAAATTTCAGAGTAAGAATGCAAATTTAGTGTAACTGCTTTTCCCATTAAGGACGTAATTGCTCATTTTAATTAAATTATATCCTTTTTTTGTTCATTCATCTCAAAACTATTTCCTTTTTAAGATATATAAATCATTGTTTCTAAACATATAAAAACATACAATATTCAATTTTAATGATTAATATTCGCAAGTTTCATGTTGACTAATTTATTTGTTCGATATAGGCCAACTTGCAAATCTGGCCTTCCATATATGCACATTAAATTTAGTCAACTCGTTTTAATGTGTTTCAAAATTTCAAGCATTTTATCTAGGAGCTTGATTCGTTTTCTTTTTGTTTGATGTCAACCTATTAACAAAACTAGTAGCGTTGGGCTATGATCCAAACCTGTAACACCGCCTTCCAATTCAGTAAGTTTGTCAAATAGTTGAGTGAATGAAATGTAAGACAAGGATAAGAGATTTCCTAAAAACCTAACAAATACCTATATAGAAAGGGAAAATATATGCTCTCGTTTGATGATGTTACATATGTTTTGGCTTTTATTTAGCGAGATGGACTCTATCTTTGTCAAGTTGATCATGTGTTACAAAAAAAAAGTAAGTGATCAAAGTTAAATTTACCTTTTTTGGTAACACATGAAAAATGTAGAAACGTTAAGGGACCCATTTAGGATGACCTATGATTATTTTAACAGATGGTTATATTACATGGTTGTCTATCTTCAAGCAAGCTGTTGAAGCAACTTGAGGAAAACTGGCAAAGCATGAGATTTAGCTTTAATTACAGAAAAAGCCGGCTTAGTTCTAGTATGGACCCTAGAATTAAGAATTTTGTAACCTTAAATTTTATTTCTGTAAGTTTTACTTAATATTTTTATCTTTTAAAGGTTTCTATGTATGAATTTTATAGATTGTTTTTATAAATACATCGATATATACATATTAAAAAAACTTATGGACCGTTTTATTCTAAATATTCAAATAATTTCTTAAAAAAACATATTTTAGAATCAATTCGTCCCATTAATTAATGGAACATAATGTTGGGTGAAGGGACGTCACACTACGTGTCCACTCAAGTAAGCTTCACTGACTAGAAATGTACGTTTTAACCTGACTTTGGAAATCCCAGGTTTTGGTTTCTCACCAGTGATCTATATTCCTCTTTTATTGTATGTCCATAAAGAGGTATTGGAATAGTGATGATACCAATTCAACATCTTTGGGTTATATATTGTGAATCACAATACTGATTATAAACACTTTACTCTTGGTCTTATTTTCTTATAGGTACAGTGTTCATGAAAGGAATATAAGTATATAAATCATTTATCAGCAATCTAAGTTTGTTTGCGGGAGTATATGGTCAAGTTATTTTACCAATGTGAACAATGACATTGCTATCACCAAGTTATTGTATTAGCTTGTGTCTATTATTTTCTTGGAAAGCTATTTTTATTGATATTTACTCTGACCTTTGTGCCCCTAAGTGGCTTGTATATTGTAGTAATTCGTAAAACTTGGGAGAAATGTCATTAGTGCTTTTGGAGTATGATTTGACAAAAAATTGTCATTAGTTGTCATTATTCTTGTGCTCTCAATCTTCGTGTTTTCAAGAATTGTTGTATAAGCATCCCTTTAATTTTATAGGTGCTTGATTTTTTTTTTTTGACAACTTTATAAGTAAAGTGGAAAAACTCTAGAAAACTAGCCAGATTATCTTAAGATGACGGTCCAAAATAACCTTTTTAACCATAAACTATTTTTCCATTCTAATTAATTAGAGTTTTAACATTTCAAATTTTATAAAAATATTTTAGATTATATTCTGCAAATCAAAACCTGAGAAAATGAGGATTTTCGACATCAGTTAATCTCGTATACATGGTCTATTACCGAATAATTTCTTTTTTTTTTCAAGCATTTTGCGATCCACTAAGAGTAGCCATTCCAACAACTAAATGCTAAAATAGGAAAAAGGGTCTCACCTTAGATTCTACCTCTGTTTGAAAGGATGTGGATCCAGACATTAGTAACACAACGTGTGATAAGAAATTTTCTGGTTCCATGTAAAAACTTGTAACTTTCATTTGATTTTTTAGCATCATAATTAGTCCGTTCTAAGCAATCATTTTTCTAAAACTTTGCTAAACTTGGATAAGATAGAACATGATAAAGATAATGTTTTGTGGCTTCCCTTATAGTAGAGAGCCAAAAGAAGCATAAAAAACCTAACAAAAGATAAGATAAGGTTAACAAAAGTCAAATGGTCAACGCGGATGAGTTGCATCGAGGTCGTACGGTCGATGTTCTGCTCGATATGCGACCTCTATATGGTCCCTGCAGCGTGTATCGATGTCCTTCCTCAATGCTGGTCCTCGATGCAGACAACCGGCTTGAAATCCTTGTGCTGATCCTTCTCCTCTCGTCCTGCTGCTTGCGTCGAGTACACTCCACGGGTGTTCTGCTCGATATGCTTGCTCGACGTGGACCAGACTTTGCAAGAACTCCATTTATGACATCTCCTTTGATCATGAGCTGCTTCCATCCCTTCCCCAGCTCCAAGAAACTCCAAAAACACCTGAGAATCACCAAAAACATGCACATGTATGAAAATGTATGAAATCCTAAGCAAAATGCATGCTATGTGGATTCTAAGTGCAAATGATACCTAAATGCTAAACTATAATGCAAAAACAGAGGAAAAGATGCATGAAATGCAGCCTAAAGTGATCTAAAATAGCAAGCTATCATTTGGTAATAAAAATAATTAAAACTTTTGTAAAATAGAAATAGACCAATGTATCATTCTCTATCAAAATAGTTATCATTCATTTTATTCATAACTAAACTGATTGTTCCCATAACACGTAAAATCAGAATCATAAATGTTTGCATATACCACAAGGGATGTTTAGTTAAACATCTATAAAAATGGTGATCATATATGTGAGCATATTAGAGTACTACGTATAGTAATACCAAATGCTATCATAAACATTTAACACATTATATCGCTGAACACAAGATAATGTAATTCTATTAAGTTTCTTATTAATCAATGCTAAATAATTACATTTTGGGAAATTTTATTATAACATCATTGAAAAAGCGAAAGGAATCAAAATCTTTTGACGCAAAACATTGTTCTCATCTCTAATCGGAGATTTTGCTTTCTTTATTTTTGTGAATATATCTTCACAAATTCTCAGTGCATCAAAAGCAGAAATCAGATACTCATTAGCTCTACTGTAATCCTGTGATTTAACGTTCGTTAAAGCTTTGTTTAAAGAACTATTTGCATCATTATAAAGCTCGATGCAATCAAGTAATGCTGCCTTATTACCAGGAGAAGTTTTCCTTTTATTGAGGTTCGTTTTAGCGATTCTTTCCACGTTAATCATGTTGAATGCAGCATTCTTTGATGATGCTATGACCAATCCTTTGATACTTGTTGCACTTTTGCCATGAGGATTCGATTCAAGAGAGTTGACGCAAAAATCGTATTTTATATTCCAATCTTTCACTGCAGCTTTCTTGCAAGAATCTCAAATCAGAGTTTGTGAGGTTGCGAAACAATTTAAGAGGAGAAAGAACATAATAAAAGAAACGAAAAATTTCAGTTTTTAATTTATTTTCTCTTTGGGGAGCAGAGAAAGCAATAATCAATTGATGAAGTAAACTTTTGATTTAATGATTCAATTTATAGTAAAACTAAAACAAAGAATTTCAGACTAAGAATGCAAATTTAGTGTAACGACTTTTTCCATTAAGGACGTAATTGTTCATTTTAATTAAATTATATCCTTTTTTGTTCATTCATCTCAAAACTAATTCCTTTTTAAGATATATAAATCATTGTTTCTAGCACACTCGATCTATACAATAAATATATAAAATCATAAAATATTCAATTTTAATGATTAGTATTCGTAAGTTCAATATTGACTAATTTATTTGTTCGATATAAGCTAACATGTAAAACTGGCCTTCCATATCGGCATATTAAATTTAGTCATCTAGTTTTAATGTGTTTCAAAATTTCAAGCATTTTGTGTAGGAGCTTGATTCCTTTTCTTTTTGTTTGATGTCAACCTATTAACTAAACTAGAAGCGTTGGGCTTTGATCCAAACCTGTAACACCGCCTTCCAATTCAGTAAGTTTGTCAAATAGTTGAGTGAATGAAATGTAAGACAAGGATAAGAGATTTCCTAAAAATCCAACAAATAGCTATATAGTAAGGAAAAATATATGCTCTCGTTTGATAATGTTACGTATGTTTTACCTTTTAGTTAGCGAGATTGACTCTATCTTTGTCAAGTTGATCATGTGTTACAGAAAAGAAGTAAGTGATCAAAGTTAAATTTACCTTTTTTGGTAACACATAAAAAAAGATAGAAAAGTTAAGGGATGATTTAGGATGACCTATGATTATTCCAACAGATGGTTATATTACATGGTGGTCTTTCTTCAAGCAAGCTGTTGAAGCAACCGGAGAAAAACTCTCAAAGCATGTGATTTTAGCTTTAATTACAGAAAAAGCCAGCTTAGTTTTGATATGGACCCTAGGATTAGGAATTATTTTGGACACCTAAATTTTATTTCTGTAAGTTTTACTTAATATTTTTTATCTTTTAAATGTTTTTGTGCATAAATTTATTGATTGTTTTTTTAATACATCGATATATATTTATTAAAAACACTTATGGACCGTTTTATTCTAAATTTTCATATGATTCCTTAAAAAATGATTTTTTAAGAAACAATTCATCCTATTAATTAATAGAACATAATGCTGGGTGATGGGACATCACACTACGTGTCCCCTCAAGTAAGTCTCACTGACTACAGATGTACGTTTTAACCGGACTTTGGAAATCCGACGTTTTGGTTTCTCACCAATGATCAATATTCCTCTTTTATTGCATGTCCATAAAGAGGTATTGGAATATTGATATTATCAATTCAACATCTTTGGGTTATATATTGTGAATCACAATACTAATTATAAACACTTTACTTTACTTGTATAGGTGCTTGATTCTTTTTTTTTTCACAACTTTGTAAGTAAAGTGGAAAAACTCTAGAAAACTAGCCAGGTTATCTTAAGATTACGGTCCAAAATAACCTTTTTAATCATAAACAGTTTTTCCATTCTGATTAATTAGAGTTTTAAAGTTTGGAAATTTTATAGAAATATTTTAGATTATATTCTGCAAATCAAAACCTGAGAAAATGAGGATTTTCGACATCAGTTAATCTCGTATACATGGTCTACTACTGAATAAATTTCTTTTTTCAAGTATTTTGGAGTATGCGATCCACTAAGAGAAGCCATTCCAACAACCAAATGCTAAAATTGGAAAAAGGGTCATACCTAAGATTCTACCTCTGTTTGAAAGGATGTGGATCCGGACATTGATAACACAATGTGTGATAAGAAATTTTCTGATTCCATGTAAAAACTTGTAACTTTCATTTAATTTTTGAGCATCATAATTAGTTCGTTCCAAGCAATCATTTTTCTAAAACTTTGCAGTTTTTTTAGAAGGCTCATGTCTGAATACTTACAATTGTCGTTTGTTTTGCTTTTGCTTATTTTAAATAATCTATTTATTTGATAATATTTTTTTTTAAATGTTTTGTAAATAAGAAATAGACCAATGTATGTATTTATTGTATTCTCTATCAAAATAGTTATCATTCATTTTATGCATAACTAAACTGATTGTTCCCATAACACGTAAAATCCGAATCATAAATGTTTGCATATACAACAAAGGATGTTTAGTTAATCATCTAAAAAAATGGTGATCATATATGTAGCATATTAGAGTACTACATATAGTAAAACCAAAAACTATCATAAACATTTAACACATTATATCGCTAAACACAAGATAATATAATTCTATTAAGTTTCTTATTAATCAATGTTGAATAATTACACTTTGGGAAATTTTATCATAACATCATTGAAAAAGCGAAAGGAATCATAATCTTTTGACGCAAAACATTGTTCTCATCTCTAATCAGAGATTTTGCTTTCTTGATTTTTGTGAATATATGATCTCTTGTATTTACACCATTTAGGCTTGCATTTAGTACATGTTTTGGCTCTCTTTTGCATGTTTTCCTTATCTTTTGTCCCATTTTCTTCTCCTTTTAGAGTTAGGTTGCATTTAGGACATAGTTTGCATTTTCAGTGCATTATGGATGTTTTTAGGTACCTATGGAGCTAAGAGGAGCATTGGAGAAGCTTTGGGGATGATCCAGGAAGCTAGCTGAGCCAAGAGGAGCAAAAGGGACCAAGGCAGACGATCTCTGCTAAGCCTATCGATCAAGGCACAAGACCTATCGTTCAAGGAGTGACCGATAGAATTCTTATCGACCAGGCCTATCGGTCCGAGAAGTGACTGATAGAGGTGCACCGTTTATATTTCGGTCACCCTATCGGTCATTTTCCAGACCGATATGATCCCTATCGATCACCCTATCAGTCACAACTGACCAATAGGAACCCAGTCCGAGCCTATCTTTTATTACACTTTTGCCATTACTTTAGGGCTTCTTTCTTTTATGTATAAATACCCTTTTTCTGGGATTTTTGACAAGTCATGTCATAACACTGTTCTTGAGTTATTTTTCTGGTTTTTTAAGACAAATTTCTTGCTTTATTTAATATAAATTTGTATTTGCTATTAATCTTTCGCTAATCTCTCTTTTAATCATGATTAACACCTTTTCCTCTTGTGATTTGGTGTTAAACATGAGTATTAGTGAGTAGTTTTCCTAGAGTTCTTAGATGTGGTAGATTAAGGGCATTTAAGGATTGATTAAGGTTTGTTTAGTGTTTAATTTAATGGGTTCCTCTTTATTGATCTGTTTTTAAGCTAGATTTGTCTTGATCACACTTATCTAGAATTTGAGCTTTCTCTTATGCCCACCAAGTGTTTGATGAAATGCTGATTTTGTTTAATAGAGGATTTGCTGGTCTTGGCTTAAGAGATTGACTGTTTGAGGAGAATTTTGACATGAATAGAGTTGATTGTTATTGCTTGTTAAATGTTTTAGCACTAATGAAAGTTAGTTCTTGTTAAGGTGTTTAGCAAAGGGCTTTTTTACAAGAGATTGGACTTAGCTTGCTTGTTTGTGAACTCTTTGTCTAAGAACCACCATTGCTAGCTTGTTTGCTTGATCAATGCTGTTTGAAACAACCTTAGTTAGTCTCTGAATTCCCCAAAATCAATAACCACATCTAGGAACTTGCTTTCTCTTTTATTGAATTTCGAATTTGCTTAGTACTCTGTTTATTTTGCTCTATTTTGCTTCTTGATCATTGCTAATCTTTCTCATTTGAATTCTCTTTGGTGATTAATCATTCTAGGTTGTTAGATAAGTTGCTTAGGCAAAAAAATCCTTCTTTGTGTTGCTTGACTTAAGGATTCTTACTCACAATTCTTTTGCTTTCAACAAAACCCTTTGGATTGACATAACACCCTTTGCTATGCTACAACTGATTCACATACAGGGGTGATTGAGAAAGAGTGAAAACCTCTAGTATCAATTTATCTTCACAAATTTTCGGTGCATCAAAAGCAGAAATCAGATACTCATTAGCTCTTCTGTAATCATGTGATTTAACGTTCGTCAAAGCTTTGTTTAGAGAACTATTTATATCTTTATAAAGCTCGATGCAATCATGTAATGCTGCCTTATTACCTGGAGAAGTTTTCCTTTCATTGAGGATCGTGTTAGCAATTCTTTCCACGTTAATCGTGTAGAATGCACCATTCTTCGTTGATGCTATGACCAATCCTTTGATACTTGTTCAACTTTTGATATGAGGATTCGATTGAAGAGACTTGACGAAAAAATCGTACTTCATATTCCAATCTTTTGCTGCAGCTTTCTTGCATGAATCTCGAATCAAGGTTTGTGAGGTTGCGAAACAATTTAAAAGGAGAAAGAACATAACAAAAGAAAAAAAGATTTCATTTTTAATTTATTTTCTCTTAAAGAAGAAGAGAAAGCAATAATCCATTGATGAAGTAAACTTTTGATTTAATGATTCAATTTATAGTAAAACTGAAACAAAGAATTTAAGAGTAAGAATGCAAATTTAGTGTAACGGCTTTTCCCATTAAGATGTAATTGTTCATTTTAGTAAAATTATATCTTTTTTTTGTTCATTCATCACAAAACTATTTCTTTTTTAAGATATATAAATCATTGTTTCTAGCATACTCCATCTATACAATAAATATATAAAATCTTAAAATATTCAATTTTAATGATTAGTATTCACAAATTTCATATTGACTAATTTATTTGTTCGATATAAGCCAACATGCAAATTAAGTCTTCCATATAGGCACATTAAATTTAGTCAACTCGTTTTAATGTGTTTCAAAAATTCAAGCATTTTGTGTAGGAGCTTGATTCCTTTTCTTTTTGATTGATTTCAACCAATTAACTAAACTAGAAGCGTTGGGCTTTGATCCAAACCAATAACACCGCCTTCCAATTCAGTAAGTTTGTCAAATAGTTGAGTGAATGAAATGTAAGACAAGGATAAGAGATTTTCTAAAAACCCAACAAATAGCGATTGGGTAAGGGAAAATATATGCTCTCGTTTAATGATGTTACATATGTTTTAGCTTTTATTTTGCGAGATTGACTCTATCTTTGTCAAGTTGATCATGTGTTACAGAAAAAAATAAGTGATAAATTTACCTTTTTTGGTAACACATAAAAAAAGATAGAAAACTTAAGGGACCATTTAGTATGACCTATGATTATTCCAACAGATGGTTATATTACAAGGTGGTCTATCTTTAAGAAAGTTGTTGAAGCAACCGAAGGAAAATTCGCAAAGCATGAGATTTTAGCTTTAATTACAGATAAGACCGGCATAGTTTAAATATGGACCCTAGGATTAGAAATTATTTTGGACCCCTATATTTTATTTCTGTAAGTTTTACTTAATATCTTTGTCTTGTAAAGGTTTTTGTGTATAAATTTTTAGACTGATTTTATGAATACATTGATATATACGTATTAATAAAACTTGTGGACTGTTTTATTCTAAATATTCATTTATTTCATAAAAAAGATCTTTTTATAAACAGTTCGTCTATTAATTAATGGAACATAATGTTGGGTGATGGGACGTCACACTACGTGTCCCCTCAAGTAAGCCTCACTTACAAGAGATTGGACTTAGCTTGCTTGTTTGTGAACTATTTGTCTAAGAACCACCATTGCTAGCTTGTTTGATTGATCAATGCTGTTTGAAACAACCTTAGTTAGTCTCTGAATTCCCCATAATCAATAACCACATCTAGGAACTTGCATTCTCTTTTATTGAATTTCGAATTTGCTTAGTACTCTGTTTATATTGCTCTGTTTTGCTTCTTGATCATTGCTAATCTGTCTCATTTGAGTTCTCTTTGGTGATTAATCATTATAGGTTGTTAGATAAGTTGCTAAGGCAACAAAATCCTTCTTTGCTTTGCTTGACTTAAGGATTCCTACTCACAACTCTTTTGCTTTCAACAAAACCCTTTGGATTGACATAACAACCTTTGCTATGCTACAACTGATTCACATACAGGGGTGATTGAAAAAGAGTGAAAACCTCTAGTATCAATTTATCTTCACAAATTCTCGGTGCATCATAAGCAAAAATCAGATACTCATTAGCTCTTCTGTAATCCTGTGATTTAACGTTCGTTAATGCTTTGTTTAGAGAACTATTTGCATCTTTATAAAGCTCGATGCAATCACGTAATGGTGCCTTATTACCTGGAGAAGTTTTCCTTTCATTGAGGATCGTTTTAGCGATTCTTTCCACGTTAATCGTGTTGAATGCAGCATTCTTTGTTGATGCTATGACCAATCCTTTGATACTTGTTGCACTTTTGCTATGAGGATTCGAATCAAGAGACTAGACATAAAAATCGTACTTCATATTCCGATCTTTCGCTGCAGCTTTCTTGGATGAATCTCGAATCAGAGTTTGTGAGGTTGCGAAACAATTTAAAAGGAGAAAGAACATAACAAAAGAAACAAAGAATTTCATTTTTAATTTATTTTCTCTTTGGGAAGCAGAGAAAGCAATAATCGATTGATGAAGTAAACTTTTGATTTAATGATTCAATTTATAGTTAAACTGAATCAAAGAATTTAAGAGTAAGAATGCAAATTTAGTGTAACGGCTTTTCCCATTATGGATGTAATTGTTCATTTTAATAAAATTAGATCCTTTTTTTGTTCATTCATCACAAAACTATTTCCTTTTTAAGATATATAAATCATTGTTTCTAACATACTCGATCTATACAATAAATATATAAATCATAAAATATTCAATCTTAAAGATTAGTATTTGCAAGTTTCATGTTGACTAATTTATTTGTTCGATATAGGCCAACATGCAAATCTAGCCTTCCATATAGGCACATTAAATTTAGTCAACTTGTTTTAATGTGTTTCAAATTCTCGGTGCATCAAAAGCAGAAATCAGATACTCATTAGCTCTTCTGGAATCCTGTGATTTAACGTTCGTTAAAACTTTGTTTAAAGAACTATTTGCTTCTTTATAAAGCTCGATGCAATCACGTATTGCTGCCATATTACTAGGAGAAGTTTTCCTTTCATTGGAGATCGTTTTAGAGATTCTTTCCACGTTAATCGTGTTGAATGCAGCATTCTTTGTTGATGCTATGACCAATCCTTTGATACTTGTTGCACTTTTGCTATGAGGAATCAATTCAAGAGATTTGACGCAAAAATCATACTTCATATTCCGATCTTTCGCTGCAGCTTTCTTGCAAGAATCTCGAATCAGAGTTTGTGAGGTTGCGAAACAAATTTAAGAGGAGAAAGAACATAAAAAAAGAAACAAAGAATTTTATTTTTAATTTAGTTTTTCTTTGGGAAGCAGAGAAAACAATAATCGATCGACGATGTAAACTTTTGATTTAGTGATTCAATTTATAGTTGAAACAAAGAATTTAAGAGTAAGAATGCAAATTTAGTGTAACAGATTTTCCCATTAAGGACGTAATTGTTCATTTTAATTAAATTATATCCTTTTTTGTTCATTTTCAGATATATAAATCATTGTTTCTAGCATACTCGATCTATACAATAATTATATAAATCATTGTTTCTAAATATATAAAAACATAAAATATTCAATTTTAATGATTAGTATTCGCAAGTTTCATGTTGGCTAATATATTTGTTCGATATAAGCCAACATGCAAATCTGGCCTTCCATATATGCACATTAAATTTAGTCAACTCGTTTTAATGTGTTTCAGCATTTTGTGTAGGAGTTTGAATCATTTTATTTTTGTTTGATGTCACCCTCTTGTTTGATGATGTTACATATGTTTTAGCTTTTATTTAGCGAGATTGACTCTATCTTTGTCAAGTTGATCATGTGTTACAGAAAAAAGTAAGTGATCAAAGTTAAATTTACTTTTTTTGGTAATAGATAAAAAAAGATAGAAAAGTTAAGTGACCATTTAAGATGATTACCTATGATTATTCCAACAGATGGTTATATTACATGGTGGTCTATATTCAAACAAGCTGTTGAAGCAACTCGAGGAAAACTCGCAAAGCATGAGATTTTAGCTTTAATTACAGAAAAGGCCAGCTTAGTTTTAGTATGGACCCTAGGATTATGAATTATATTGGACCCCTAAATTTTATTCTGTAAGTTTTACTTAATATTTTTGTCTTTTAAAGGCTTTTTGTGTATAAAAATTTTATAGATTGTTTTTATGAATACATCGATATATACTTAATAAAAAATCTTATGGACCGTTTTATTCTAAGTATTCATATAATTTCTTCAAAAATATTTTTTTCGAAACAATTCGTCCCATTAATTAATGGAACATAATGTTGGGTGAGGGTACGTCACACTACGTGTCCCCTCAAGTAAACCTCACTGACTACAAATGTACGTTTTAACCGGACTTTGGAAATCCCACGTTTTGGTTTCTCACCAATGATCAATATTCCTCTTTTTTTGCATTTCCATAAAGAGGTATTGGAATAGTGATATTATTAATTCAACATCTTTAGGTTGTATATTGTGAATCACAATACTTATTATAAACACTTTACTCGTGGTCTTATTTTCTTAAAGGTACAGTGTTCATGAAAGGAATATAAGTATATAAATCAGTTATTAGCAATGTAAGTTTGTTTGCGGGAGTATATGGTCAAGTGATTATACCAATGTGAGCAATGACATTGCTATCACCAAGTTATTGTATTAGCTTGTTTCTCTCATTTTCTTGTAAAGCTATTTTTATTGATATTTACTATGACATTTTTGACCCTAAGTGGCTTGTATATTGTAGTAATTCATAAAATTCGGAGAGAAATGTCATTAGTGCTTTTGGAGTATGATTTAACAAAAAGTTTTCATTAGTTGTCGTTAGTACTTGTGCTCTCAATCTTTGTGTTTTCAAGAATTGTTGTATAAGTATCCCTTTAATTGTATAGGTGCTTGAATTTTTTTTTTTTTGACAACTTTATAAGTAAAGTGGAAAAACTTTAGAAAACTAGCCAGGTCACCTTAAGATTATGGTCCAAAATAACCTTTTTAATCATAAACAATTTTTCCATTCTAATTAATTAGAGTTTGAACGTTTTCAAATTTAATAAAAATATTATAGATTTTATTCTACAAATCAAAACCTGAGAAAATGAGGATTTTTTGACATCAGTTAATCTCGTATAGATGGTCTATTACCGAATAATTGTTTTGTTTTCAAGCATTTTGGAGTATGTGATCCAACAACAAAATGCTAAAATAGGAAAAAAGGTCTCACCTTAGATTCTACCTCTGTTTGAAAGGATGTGGATCCGTACATTAGTAACACTATGTATAATAAGAAATTTTCTGGTTTGATAGCTTGCTATTTTATATCATTTTAAGCTGCATTCATGCATCTTTTCCTCTGTTTTTGCATTATACTTTAGCATTTTATTATCATTTGCACTTAAAATTAACATAGCATGCATTTAGCTTAGGATTGCATACATTTGCATACAAGTGCATGTTTGTGGTTGTTTTCAGGTGTTTTTGGAGTTTCTTGGAGCTGGGGAGGAGATGGAAGCAGCTCATTATCATAGAAGATGTCAGAAATGGAGTTCTTGCAAAGTCTGGTCCATATCGAGCAAGCATATCAAGCATAACACATGTGGAGTATGCTCGATGCAAACAGCAGGACGAGAAGCCAAAAAACATTATTTTTAACAAGTTCTGTCTTATCCATGTTTAGTTATCTATCAAAAACCTTCTCTAAACCTTAAAGGGCGATTTGCCTTAAGAATCTTTCTCTTTAATAAAGTATGCATTTTATGGTATTATCTTGTCTTTTAATCTTTGTTCTTGCACCTTGGTAGTTTAGATTTATTGTCTTTGCATTTTAACCTCATCTAGTTATGTTACACTCCAAATCAATGGGATTAAACATGATTAGTGAGTAGTCTTCCTTAGATTTAGGGTTCTAAGTAAGGAAAAGTGGTGATCAAGATGTGATTAATGGGTGATTAGGCTTGTTTAATGGTTCTCTGTTATCTCCTTCTCTTGCAGATTGATTAATGTTGATAAAGCTTTCTCCTTTTGATTGATTATGGTTTGATAGATGCAGATTGTTCGCTTGATGTTTTGATATCTCTTTTCTAAGCATGGTTCACTTATTTGGCTTGATAGTCTTGCTGAGTCTATGTTTCCTTTGTTCAGTAACACCAAAGTGATAGTTCACTACAGCTAGATGATTCGCTTTGGGCTAGATAATGCTGGTTTTGAGATTCTTGCTTAATGGTTAGATAATATGTATTGAAAGATCTTGCCTTTGCTTCATTCTTGTTCATTTCTTAGCTTTGTTAGGATGTTGCAAGTTTGTGCTTAAATCCATAATCTTGATGCTGCCTAGGTCCTTATTGGTTCACAAGATTGATAAGTTGATCTGAATTCTTGCTTGGGTGAGAGAGTAGTTGCTTGATTGGTGCATCTCTTAGGTTAGAATGGTTCTGATCTTCATGCTCAAGGTTGAAGGATACGCCATCACAAGTGGGTCTGACACTTTGATCTTGTTGAATATGAATTGCTTATTGACGCCAAGTGGTTCCCTTTAGATACCTTGTCTAGGAGCATAACAACGAGAACTGCTTGCTTTGTTAATACTTGTTGAGTGCCTTAGTAGAAATCTCATTTGTCTCTCTTGAAAACCACTATCCCACAATTGCTTAGAACCTTGAGTCTTGCTTTTAATTAATTGTCTTAAAGATCATCCTGCTTAGTTCTTTCTCTAGTAGTCATTCATGCTTAGTTCTTGTTTAGTCATTGCCTTAAGTTCGTTGTTTAGTTTTGTTCACTTGCATTTAGTTTATGTTTTCCTTCCATTGCATTATTAGGTTGTTAGACTTGCTCTTGCATAATCAAATCCCCAATCTTGCGTAGCTTACAGCATTGTTTGCATCTCATCTTCCACAAATTGGATTGATACCTGATCCATATACTACATCTGATTAGGCTAAGGCATTTTAGTTTGGACTTGCAAAAAGTTCTTCTTCAAATTGGCGCCGTTGCCATTTGTGGATTGTTTGAGTTTAACATTGCTGTTAGACTAATTTTTTTACCTTAAAATTTACTAATTTGCTCTGTTTTCTGTGCTCTGTTTTTTCAGGTACTTGTATGAATTTGAGGTCTAAAGGCTTATCAAATCTGACTCCTTTCATTGACAACATCCATAGGAGAAGAGCTGTAAGACAGAGAGTTCAAAAGATAGAAGAACAGAGGATGGCAGAGCAAGAAGCTCAGTTAGCACATGTTGGTGTTGTTGGACAAGCACCATTACAACAAGCTGCAGCACACATAGATGAAGCACAAGAAGCTTGGAACCAAGCGGCTGGAGTTCAGGGATTGCGAGTACCAGTTCACACACCTAGAGCTGCAAGACCAATAGGAGCTGGTGATGCGCCTGATACTCACCACAACAGGAATGGCATTCACGCTCCAGCTGTACATTAAAACCACCTCGAGATCATGCTTGGGTTGATCAACATGGTGCAAGGCAACATACTCCATGGCCTGCCCTATTGAGACCCTTTGGATCATCTTGACCAGTTTGTTAAGGTTTGTGGTATGACCAAGATTCAATAAGTCTCTGAAGATGCTTTGAAGCTGCGCTTGTTACCTTTCAGTTTAGGTGACAAAGCACATCAGTGGGAGAAGACACTTCCACAAGGTTCAATCTCTACAAGGAATGAGTGCAAGACAGCATTCCTCAAGAAATTCTTCAGCTCAACAAGAACAGCAAAGCTCATAAATACCATAAGCAGCTTTACTCAGCATGGGAATGTGACAGTTGCTGAAGCATGGGAGCGGTTCAAGTCTTACACTTTACAGTGCCCACACCATGGCTTCACAAATGAAAGCTTCCTGTCTACTTTGTATAGAGGAGTGACGCCAGAGTACATGATGCTCTTGGACACAGTTTCCAATGAAAATTTCATGGGCAATACTGTTGTAGATGGTCTAGCTCGTGTGGAGAACTTGGCACTTTCTGATGGCAACTATGGTGAAGAATATGACAGAACATCTAGAGCAGTTGTAAGCGCTGATGGTGATAGCACAACAAAAAAGGAGATTAAAGCTTTGAATGACAAGTTAGACAAGCTGCTGAGTGTGTCTTTCAAGAATGTCAGTTTTGTTGGTGATAGTGTTACTACACAAGAGGAAGTTGGAACAGTTGTAGAAGAAGAAGCCTT